TCTTGGCAACTATTCTAATAGATTAATCGATAGCTATTTTCTGACCTTCGGGAACCCCAGCTGATGCTGTTGTGAATGGCATGAAAATATATAATATATATATATATATATATATAGAGAGAGAGAGAGAGAGAGAGAGAGAGAGAGAGAGAGAGAAACGCTCGCAACGGGCCAGGAAAGCGAGGGCAGATTCTGAGTGGTTAGGTTTGGGGGCAGAGGAGACACCTCTGCGGGTGTCTTCCCCCGGAATGAGCACTGAGGCCGGAGGGGGGTCTAAAACCTAATTAGCAAGACGGAGCCGGCTGTGCCGCCCTGACTCCTTAGAGGTAAAACAATCAAACAAAATCCCAAACAAAGATTATTAAGTTTTTCTTTTTTAAAAAAACGAGCTGGCAACCTTGTTCTGCATTGCCATTCTCTAAGGAATGTTGGCAAAGGGGGAGGGGAGGAGAAAAGGCTAGGCGCGGAGAAGGCTGGGCAGCGGGAGCCGCACGGTCCCGCGGACACTTTTAGGCCCACGCCCTCACACCCACCCACCCACCCACACTCACACCCTCCCTGGACCCCACGCGGGGCTCCAGCCTAGGCAGAGGTCTCCGGGCGGGCCCGAGCGCCCTCGGGGCCCGCGGGATGCTGGCGCAAGGTGCGGTGCGGAGTTGCGCGTCTCTCGTCCCTTTGTTGACAATTCCCTGAACCAACTTGAGTTTGGCCAGCTCCGCGGCAGCCCTGACGTCACGCGTGGTCACGTGGCCCCGCCTCCTGCTGGATCTTTAAGTAGAAAGTAATCTATCAGGCCAGTCTTTAAAACGGGACTTTCGACTACCGGGGCTTCGGCGTCCCTGACACCCCCTCCCCCCCGCGGTTGCCCCTACCCGCGCCCTCTCGAGCTGCTTGGCGCCGGGAGTCCCGCGCCCGCCTGGACCGTTCCTGAGCCCCACGCCCGGGCCAGAGGCCGAGGAAGGCGGGCGAAGTGAGGGGGCGCGGCGTGGAGAAACCTAGCGCCTAGTAGGGAGCATCAAGGACCGCAGGAGTTTGCGGAACGCGGCTGCGGGGGGCAGACGGCAGCGCCCGCGTCGCACGATGCCGGGCCTCCGCGTGTGAGCCGAGCCGGGCGGGCCCCGAGCCACCTGCGCCCCCTCCCCTTTCCGTGTCCCTCGTCTTTCGGGGGGCGCCCCAACCCCCTTCCCCTGAGTTCCGCGGCAGCCCCCAGCGACCCCCATCGCCTTCTTGCTCCTTCCCCGCCGCCGCCGCCGCCGCCGCCGCCGCCACCAACCCGGAGGAGGGATGACCCTCTCCGGCGGCGGCAGCGCCAGCGATATGTCCGGCCAGACGGTGCTGACGGCCGAGGACGTGGACATCGATGTGGTGGGCGAGGGCGACGATGGGCTGGAGGAGAAGGACAGCGACGTGGGTTGCGATAGCCCCGCGGGGCCGCCGGAGCTGCGCCTGGACGAGGCGGACGAGGGGCCGCCGGCAGCACCCCATCACGGGCAGCCTCAGCCGCCCCATCAGCAGCCCCTGGCATTGGCCAAGGAGGCGGCCGGGGCCGGGGCCGCGCCTGGAAGCGAGGCGGGAGCGCCGGAGGCGGACGGCTGTAAGGGCGGCGAGGAGGGAGCCGCGAGCGGCGGCGGCGGCGGCGGGGGGCCGGGTGCGGGAGGCGGTGCGGCGGGCGGCCTGACCCCGAGCAAGCCCAAGAACAGCCTGGTGAAGCCGCCCTACTCGTACATCGCGCTCATCACCATGGCCATCCTGCAGAGCCCGCAGAAGAAGCTGACCCTGAGTGGCATCTGCGAGTTCATCAGCAACCGCTTCCCCTACTACCGGGAGAAGTTCCCCGCCTGGCAGAACAGCATCCGCCACAACCTCTCGCTCAACGACTGCTTCGTCAAGATCCCCCGCGAGCCGGGCAACCCGGGCAAGGGCAACTACTGGACCCTGGACCCGCAGTCCGAGGACATGTTCGACAACGGCAGCTTCCTGCGGCGCCGGAAGCGCTTCAAGCGCCACCAGCAGGAGCACCTGCGCGAGCAGACGGCGCTCATGATGCAGAGCTTCGGCGCCTACAGCCTGGCGGCGGCGGCCGGCGCCGCGGGACCCTACGGCCGCCCCTACGGCCTGCATCCCGCGGCCGCGGCCGGCGCCTACTCGCACTCGGCGGCCGCCGCAGCTGCAGCCGCGGCCGCCGCGCTCCAGTACCCGTACGCGCTGCCGCCGGTGGCGCCCGTGCTGCCGCCCGCCGTGCCCCTGCTGCCCTCGGGCGAGCTGGGCCGCAAAGCGGCCGCCTTCGGCTCGCAGCTCGGCCCGGGCCTGCAGCTCCAGCTCAACAGCCTGGGCGCCGCCGCGGCCGCTGCGGGCACGGCGGGCGCCGCGGGCACCACGTCGCTCATCAAGTCCGAGCCCAGCGCGCGGCCGTCGTTCAGCATCGAGAATATCATCGGCGGGGGCCCCGCGGCGCCCGGGGGCTCGGCCGCGAGTGCGGGGGGCGCCGGCGGCACTGGGGGGGCCGGGGGCGGCGGCACCGCGCAGTCCTTCCTACGGCCGCCCGGGACCGTGCAGTCAGCGGCGCTCATGGCCACGCACCAGCCACTGTCGCTGAGCCGGACGACTGCCACTATCGCGCCCATCCTGAGCGTGCCGCTCTCTGGACAGTTCCTGCAGCCTGCAGCCTCGGCCGCCGCCGCCGCTGCCGCCGCCGCTCAAGCCAAGTGGCCCGCGCAATAGGGACGCGCCGGTGGCCGGGACGCCAGGCCCGGCGGCGGCCCCGGGCGGCGACTGGCCTTCCACGCTGCGCACTCCGCCCTGGTCCCGGTCTCCCTGTCCAAGTCCTGGACGCTGCGAATCCCTGATTCACCCCCCCCTACACACACACACCCCGCCCCCATCAGCGACCTTCCGCGACCTCCGTCCCCTCGCGCACAACTAAGCTGGCGGAGCAAACTCCACGCGCGCCCGCCGGGAATAGCTTTCCATACAGGTAAAACCCAATTTCCAAAAATGCACCCCGACGGCGCCTGCTCTCAGTACCGTAGGGTGGGAGGGAAATTCTTTGTACATATTTGTATAAAAATTATTGACTTTCCTTTTGGGGGTTTTTATTTTTTTAAGAAAAAAAAAACAAATTCAGTAGATTTAGAGCTCTGAACTTTCATTTTTTTTGAAGGTTCACTCTCCGAAGTTTTATCCGCAAAAAAGAATGTATAGAGACGTTGGGAGATTTTAAATACAAAAAAAAAATTTTCAAAAAGGCGAAGTGTCATTCTATTATAAAGGTCTGTTTATATATGAATGGATATATATATATATATGGTATTCTAAATGTTATTCCATCGTGTTGTACACAACTTTGTAAATAAATTTTTAAAATGCTCAGCCTAGTGTTTTATTTTTAGGTGTCTAAAGTAAAATGGCAAGACTTTAAAATGAAATTTGCATTTTGTTTTCCCTAAACGCAGGGGTTTCAAGTAATGACCTTTTCAAACTTTGCTAATAAACAATTTGAGTGTAAGAACATTTTAATGGAAGAAAGAGTATATCTAATTTAAATCACATTAATAGTTTTCCTTTAGTTTTCACGTAAGATCAGGATGTGGGTGATGATCTCGTTTGTATCAACCCATTAAATCTAAATGACCAAACGCTTCTGTAAAGTAAGCTGTCATTAAAAAATCTAAACAGCAGCAACCTTTAAATCTTTGAAGATCAGACCAGTATCTTCCCCAGTGAAAACTTCCCAAGAGTTCTTGCTCGTTTTAATTATCCTTTCAAAAGTAAGTGAATTCCAGACATCCCTCCTGTTAACATTTAAATCTTAAGATTTTTGAAATTCCTTTCAACCCTTAAGTGGGAGTGCTAAATAAACCCAATTGCTTTTTAAAATTTATGTGATGATATTTTAAATTTTGCACTGGGATGGCACTAATAGTAACCTAATAGATAATACATTGTTATCTTATTCTTTGATAATAATTTCAAAAAAGATACCCTTTTTCATAGCTATAATTAATCCACCTCCTAATTGGATTTCTGGAGGATTCCTATAGATGCTTCCTCTCCCTCCAACCCGAAGCTTTTTTGAAAACCAAGGAAACGCTATTAATGCCCTTTTAAAAACAGGTGCAAACTCTCCCCCTCCCCCATTTTTTTTTTTTTTTTTACCTTTGGCTAGGTTAGTGTGAAATGCGAGATCCTAGGGCAGGAATGGGGGATGTCCTCGTAGATTATTTTTAATGTGCATTTCAGCTATTTCAACCTTTTAAAGTAAGTGTTAAGGTAAAAATGAAACATCTTGATGCAGGAGGCCGGTTCCCGCCACCATCAGCACATCTTCAAACGGCATCAATTCTAATTATTTTGTAATTAATTTAGCTGTTACAATTACTTATGCGAAATCGCTTTTTAGAACCGGAGCGGGTAGCAGCCCTGTCAACTCGGCCCTGTGCGTGTCTTGTTGGTAAAACCCAGCCAGCCTTTGACGCTGCTGTCCACTTCACGTACCCCGGTGCTGGAGATGCCTTCCTCACCGCCAGGCAGAGCCTTGTTTTTCCGTGGCCGGCGAGTGGCTTTGAAATACACTTCCTCCAAAATACCGAATCTGCTTTCCTGGTAAACAGTAAACATTATTGTGTCCTGAGTAAACATTCCTTTGGGATCAGGGTCCTAAAATAAAACAGGCTGCTGGGAGTGAGATAGTTTAACTTGATAAACAAGAACCTGATAATCAACCACTGCCAGAGAAGCCATAGTAACCTTCACTGAGAAGAGATTATGGACCGCCCGGTCTTCGGGCGGGTTCCTTCTAATCTCCTTTTACAAGGAAACTAAACGGATCTAAATTTGTTTGTGTGTTGCAGCTATAAAAGTAACAAGTTGTTTCACAGTTGTGTCTGGCTAATCGGTTTTTACACAAACAGCAAATGGTACGTGATTTGTGCAAACACATAGAGGTTATTTCTAAATTTAGCTGACACCCCTGGGAAAAGGGAAAGGCAGGGCTTCTTGAATTCACTTTTAGCCTCAAGAAGCTGCTGATCCAAGGCTTCTAAATGACATTGGATAACAGGGGCCTCATTCCATCCCTGATCCTTTGTTACTTATAAAATTACTCGCTCATATTTCCGCGCATAGCAGCAATACCGGCCGAGCCTGAGCCCGCAGCTTGACACTCAGACACAAGCCGCCGCTTGAGATCCGCAAGGCTTTTTCCAGCGGAGAGATCCGCCGGCTACTTTCCTTCCAGCCACTCTCACTCTTGAAAGATGGTCCCGGTCTCTTCTATCTTGGGGGATAGGAGACCCTCATGCCTAGAACCCCAACCGGCCAGCGGTTGTTTCGAGTCCTGGCAGATGTCAGGCAGGTAGGCCCAGGCATAACCTCCTGTAACGCTTTTCTAGGCTTAAGCCTTTTAAACTGCGAAGGTTTAGAACAGAAGGAAAAATACAATTATCGTAGATAATGAACGCAAGCATTTAGTGGGGGCGAGGGGAAAGCTGGAAACCCACGTTGGAGGTTATGGAACGCAGGCACCTGCCACAAAAGGCGGTGATATCTGCTCTCATGTTGAAATTTAAAGGCAACGCGACTGTTATCCGCTCTTTTTTTTTTTATTCCACTTGAGAAAAGAAGCTAAAGGAACAGGGGAAGACTTACTTGCAATAAAAGGAGAAAAGGGTTGATTTTTATGGGGGGGATGAGGATTCTAGCTTTCGACTACACACGAATTTAAACATTTTCCCCCTACATCCGACACTGATTTCTAGAAAATCAACTGACTCCTGAGGTCTGTGTCTCCTAGAATATCCTTGGGATGGGGTTTCTGAGTGGACCCTCCCGAACCCAGTCCCTTGGGGGGCAATAGAGGGTAAATTTGGAGGTCCAGGGAAAAGAGGAACCGAGGGTAGAGCTCAACTCCGGCTGAGCAGGGCTCTCGCGGCGATTGCGGATGTGGCCTGTAGGGGGCAACCAACAGATGGAAAACTTCCTGGTTTGTTTCGGAGGACCCAGCCCCAGCCCCCAAGACCTCTCCTTCCCTCCCAGGTTCTGATCCACCCTTCCCCCCGCCCCCCCCCACTCCCTCGCTCATCCTTGGGTCGCTGGACTCCCAGGCCGAATCTCGAAGAAGAAGGTGCTCTCCTCCATCTGTCTCCTGGAAGGGACAGGGTCCCCAGGGGGTGGGGGTTTGTCCTAAAGCTTGGGAAGCAATACAATAAAGTTTACTGGCTTGGAAGCAGTTAAGAGTTATATTTGAGGTTATTTATTTTATATAGTTTATGGACAAGTCTTGGTAGTGAGGAGAACATGAAAGGCTTCTGGGGAGGGTGCTTGTGTATCTGAAGTTTGGTCCCTTGGGAACTTGTATCCAAAAGAAAGCCAGTTTCAGAACCATTTGTCCATCCAACCCCACCGGTGACCATGATGGTGCAAACTGCAGCGTGCTGGCTGTATGTATGTTTTGGGGGGAAAAGGGGTTCTGTTTCATGGGAGGGAATGACAGGAATCAGCAGGGTGAGAGGGACCTTGCACAAGGCGTCCCAATGAGAGGTGAGACATTTCCTATAACTTTGGACTAGCTGCTTGGTTTCTCCATTTCCATGACTCTACACGAGAACGTGTCGACCTGACACATAGGCTTGCAGATTTAGGTGAATTAGTGTCTGTGAAAAATAACTGCCAAGTGATGAACGCATTAAAAGTGCGGGTTTTGTTTTGTTTTGTTTTTTTTTATTTTAATGGTTTCTGAACTAACTAAGCACTTGGTTTTGAACAAGGCTTTTACATGTGAAAAAGAGTTTTTCTGGAAGGGGCGCAGAACCTATCCCAACCCCTGGCTGCTTGGACAGGTGGAGCCAAAGCGAGGCTACTCAGAAGGAGCTTTGCAAAGGTGTAGCCTCCTCCTGGTCTTGAACCCTCTTTCCACCACGCCCTGGGCCCAAGGACAAGCCTGGGTGGCTGGGTGGGTGGGTGCCAGGCCAGCTCCAGGCCGGCGTATTTCTTTCTGGCCCAGTGGCCTACTCCACTGCTGCCTCTTTGCTTCCACTAACCGAGGCAAGTGGGGAAACCCGAGCCCTGCGCTGACAGACGCCCATTAGCGCAAGACGCGGCCTCAGAGGCGAATTAAAGGTAACCAGATCCCCAAACCGCCCAAAGACCACCCTCCCTTCGCAGCCCTCCAACAGTTGGCAGAGCTACATCCAGAGCCAACTCGGCTCTTTACCACCCCCTCCCCGTGCCCTCTTAGGAATGCACAAGCCATTCTTTGCTCCCGGAGGCAACCAAGCAGGACGGTGCATGGAAAAAAATTCGAAAAGAAATGGTGCAAAATCAGCCAGAATGGCGTAAGAAAACAGTCATCTCATTTTTTATTTCCCGAGGTGGTGTCCTACGTGAGAATTTTGTTACAGAATTAAAAACTCTCTAGAGAATTAAATTGGGCTCACCCCCTCCATTACAATACAAAGCTTCTACTAAAAGTCCCTTTTCCTACAGGATCATATGCTCCTCTATACCGCTGCGTCCCATCGGTGGGTAGGGAGGGTGGGGAACCCCGCCATGCCCTCATCTTTAGAAAACCGGTCCTAGAACACTAGCCTGCGCAGTGGCCTCGGGGATCATCCCCTCTTTCTGTTCACATAGGGCCAGAAGATGCCGGGACTAGCCCAAGGTCACTCAGCAAATCAAGTGTAAGGTTATGGGCTTACTCATGGGAGAAGAAAGTGTTCTTTACCCAGGAAGGACGCATCATTTGAGGAAGGAAACAGTCAACACTGGGCAAAGAAAGTAGGGGAGGCTGGAGAGAAGAAAAGAGGCTAACAGAAGCTCCGGGCCAGGCTCGGCTCGGCTGGGGAAGCCGGCCGACCTTGACCCCGGCGTCTTCCTCTACCCAGGGTGCTCGCGCTGCCTGGCACCACACCGGACCGCTCTGCAAGGACTGACAGCCCCATTTCTTTCTTGCCTCGAGATCTGGAGAAGAAAGAAGGAGGGAACTTTACGCCTAAAGCTCCCTTCACCCTTGGGCCCAGCATCCTAGTCACGATGCTGCAGTGTCAGGACTGGGTCCCCACCCGCGCCCCCAGCGCCCCTTCACACTCCGGGATCACCACGGCTCCAGCTTCGAGGGCTCGGCCTGCAGGATTCCAGCTCCCCCTGCCTGGAGGTAGGGATGGGAGGATAGAATTCGAAGTAAGTAGGGCGGAAACCCAGCGGTAAAAGATCCAGAGGTGGACATGCCGCGGGGACACGCGGTGGAACTTGCCACCCGGCCCTGTCCTGCGGCGCCCCAGCTGCGCGTATTAGGGAGGCTCGCAACAGGATGCCAACCCCGCGGTGATACTCTGGGCGGCCCAGATGCCCCAGCCGGGAGAGAAGAACAA